AAAATCAAACGTTCGAACGACCGACCGACCGACCGAACGTCTATCCGAACGTCTTGAGCTTTGAGCGTCTTACACTGCGGGTGACCCACGTGACGACCAGACGTGACATCAGCGTCTTGAAATTAGCTGGTTTTTAAACATTTAAGGAGCCAAGCTGCTGTGTAAAGACTATAAATGGACATTACAAGCATTAGGCTACAATAAAGATATTTTGTACCTAAAAGAATACTCAACCGTTTCCTGCATGCTGCTGTAGGCCTACTTACCTTCTGTACTGCTGAACTTACTGTCAGTGGCGCCTGCAGTATGTATGGCTGAAGGCATGTTCAAGGCTGTGTACCATGAGCGCTCAGACTGACCTGAGATTTGCCTTGCAAACATTTCAGCAGTTAGTAGCTATATGTGTCCCGTATTTCTGTCGACTGAACCAGCCATGCCATTAATTATGAATTTATCTTTTGCACGCCAAAGTCAATTTTTGCATATAAATATTACGCCAAATAGAAAATGTGATATGCTTGAACTGTTTTATTTCTATAGATTTTATTTTAGGCAAGTCGTGATGATTTGAGAAGGCTAAATTGATCAAACATAGGCTATGATCAACTCACTGTCTGCCGCTGGCCGCTTGGTCGTTACTTAAAAAAACAACAAAAAAGCTTACATTTAACGAACAAAAAATGCTCCAAACGTTTTTCTGAATTAACTTTATAAAAAAAAGAAACAAAATATAATCACTTTTCCATTATACACAAAACTGAACTATTTTAATAGCCGAAACAGTAGTATATATATATATATATATATAAACAACAAGCATTTTGTATGATCCCTATTATTTTGGTAAAATAATGAACATTTAGCAGATTCTGCAAGGTGTATGTAAACTTTTGACTTCAACTGTGTATATATATATAGTGTGTATGACTTCTCTACAGTAGATAAGACATCAGTCTGGGTCTCAGGAGGATGTATTCATCTTTGATCAATAGACATCTCTGTAAATGCAAACAAAAGTGATGTTCTTTATTTCAATCAAGGTTTTACTCACAAATCGGCTCATATGAAAACTGAACATGTTTATATTTTATAACCCCATTAAACATCTATAAACCTCACAAATTCTAGCAGTTCATGAGAACATATTGAAAGTTTTTACCTTAAATGTAAGAGCAACCGTCCACTGTAAAGACTCCTGGAATTGTAATGTTAAACTTCAAAGTAGCTATTAACTAAAATAGGTTAATTCATGTTAAACTATTTTAATATTGAACAAATTAATAAAAAAATAATATTTTCTTAGTGTTTTTAAACCTGTACCTGTAATGACAACTCCCAATATTTATAATTTTTGGCAGACAACTTTATTTAAATTGCTGTATAGTATGTAGTTTAATATTCCTGACATAAATGTTCTCAATATGACAGTATGTCAATTTTTGAAAATTGTAACCTTTGTTAGAAAAGTAAATAAATAAT